TATTGCATTGTAATCTTTGTTTATCAATAACTGTATTTTTTCATTTAAATTTTTTAATTAAAATTGTCTTGTTTTAAAATTGCAATTGAGAATAAATTTATTCAAATATTAAAATATGTTTTTTTAAATTTGTTTTATTTTGTTTTTTGTTTAATTGCAAAAGATTTTTTTTGAGTGCATTTTCCTTACAAAAACCGTTGAGATCACAAGCTAGGTGATTACTCATTACATTTCTACAACTCTACCACAATTGATAGTCAATTGTTTGAAACAAACTTTTAAGAAACAGAGAAACTCTTTAGTTTAACAAAATTGCATCAAGCACAATCTAACATACAAATCTGTATTCATTGTATTGAGCTAGATTTTCCAGACATAAAAAAATGTTATTATTAGTTAGACGTGATTATTGAATCATCAAGTTAATTGTTGAAATATTGTTCACTATAAACGTTACAATGTTTTAGTCATTTAGTGTCCCATTTTTAATATAATATTTGTAATGTTTAAACCCAACTCACAATAAGTGTGTACCTTATATATGAATAATATAGTAATAGTAATTTCTTTACATAAATGACCTTTTCTATTATAAATGCTATGTGTACGCTGGTGTACATACTGGAAATACTAGGTATTGAGTGACGAACTTGACTTGTTCAAATATGGGTACTAATTGTGCTAATACTAATTGAATTGAATTTATTTAAATAAATCGTTTGTAAAGTTAGGCGTAAATATTAAATGTTATACAATTGTACAATTGACCACAATCTCACATTTCAACATCAAATATCACTCTTACATAACGTAAAGTTATATAAAGTTTTCAATTGAACATCAATTCACTAGTGATTGAATAGTGTATAGGAAATGAATGCAACGGTAGGTGTCGTATGAGTTGTGTGTTTAGCACATCTCACGTGTGTTTACTTTGAATACACTTTCATTTGTTGTCACTTATAGTCATTTAGAAACATATACTTCATTGAGATATGAATCAAATGAATATCTTCGCCACAATTGGTGCCAAATTTGGCACAAATTACAGATTTAGTCAACACTTGTCACACATGATAACTCGACACATGGCCTCCACAGTGTCTGCAGACATGGATCCGACCCACACGACTGACTCGTCGGCCAGAGACCCGACGAGAGACCGGACACGTGTTGTTAGTCCCCAACAGAGTATCCAATATGTGAAGAGCACTGGTATGTGATATGTGTTGACTGATTGTCATGTAATTGTCATTTTGTGTTAGCTTTCGCGGAAACGTACGCTCACTATAAGGTGTGGCAGTTGTATCGGCGCAACTTTAAGGGACAGTTCTCTCCCTTCAGATCCCGAGACAATTGTATTATTGATAACTATATCTATACATCAAATCCGTGTCCAGTTTGTCGCGACGAATACCTCGTACTTCACTATACAGTGAGTATTGGTTAGTCTTGTCTTAAATAATGTGTAATTAATGATTGATGTATTGAACAGAATATGGATCTATTGAATCAATTTATTAATCCTCATTCGGGTTATGTCTACGAGAATACCATTCTATGTNGTTTTGCCACTAAATATGAGAGTAAGGGTTTGGGTGGATAGGGTTGGGTGGCTATGGCTATGCCACTGGGTATGGGTGTAAGGGTTTGGGTGGAAAGGTATGGGTGGCTATGGCTATACCTTTATATCCCCCCGTTTTATGGCTTGGTTTGGGGCATATTCTGAGCTTTGAAATGTGAAAAGTGTCACTAGTTTTGCCCTTTTTGTCACACTCTATGATATAAGAAATATCAGATAATTTCTTAACACATTTGAACGGTCCAATCATTGGGGCTCTAATTTTTTGCGAGAAATTTTATTCTTATTCTCTACATAAACTAAATCTCCTTCAGATATAGTGATTGGATTATGGTTAGAATCATAATATTTTTTATTTAACGCATGATTTTTTACGCTATTATCAAATGCATGACTGCGGGCAAAATCAATGGTAATATTAGATCCATAATTGTAAAGTTCAAATGGTTTTACACCAAACAATAGAAAATTAGGAGTGTATTGAGTGATAGAGTGTACAGAATTGTTATAATGTTTTGTTATGTTTTCTAACAGTTTTGGCCAACACTTGTGTTGGTTGCCGTCGTTGAGTTCACACCTTAATCGGGTGACTAGTGTTTGAATGACTCGTTCTACGAGACCATTACTTTGGCTACAATTTACAGTTATAAACATGATATTTATGCTATTTTTATTTAAGAAATTAGTAAATTCATTGGATTTTATACCTGTGTAGCGATCGGCAAGTATTAGTTTAGGTGTTTGTGTTTGTTTCACAATATTTATGAGATTTATAAAGTCTTTTGCGGATTGGGTTCGGGAGGCAAGTATCCAGACATAGCGGGTGAAGTGGTCAATGGCCACATGGATGTACTGTTTGGCAGAGTTATAGCCACTTAGGCCGCCAACAGTATCGATGGATATTATCTCAAACGGCTCTTTTGCCGGACCTAATTGAGACAACGAACCATATTTCTTATGTCTGTTTATTTTGTTAGTTTGACAAACTTTGCATTGATTTACATAATTGCTAATTATTTGAGACATGTTTTGAAAATAATAAGCGTTTGATATGAGAGATAGCATTTGTTTTGAGCTCAAATGTCCATAACTTTTGTGGCATTCATTTAAGAGTTTAGGGATGAGTGGGTCTGGAATGTAGATCCGTTTAATGTCTTTGTTTTGTTTGACAATTAAGTCATTGTCTAAACTGAGATTTTTAGGCATTTTATGGAGAAAAGGCTTTTGGCTGTCAATTATTTCATTGATTTTTATGAGATTTGAATACTTGATGTATTCATGGGTTGGGCTGGCGTTTAGCACAGGATTACGGGATAAGGCATCCGATTCGCAATTCTTTGTGCCCGGAATATACTTTATGTCAACATCGTATTGACTTAGTCTTAGGGACCAATTGAATAGTCGAGAGTTAGGCTTTTTAATCGTTTTCAACCACTTTAGGCTATTGTGGTCGGAGTATACGACAAATTTTCTGCCGTAGAGATAGTGATGCCAGTAATCAATGGCTTGAATTATGGCGAGGCATTCGAGTTCACTCACAGAATAGTTCATTTGATATGTGAGAAGTTTTTTGCTATAATAGGCTATGGGATGTGCTTTGCCGTCGGACTGGACCTGTTTCAGGACAGCCCCGGTACCGATTCGGGAGGCATCGGTATAGAGTAGGCACTCTTTGGAGGGGTTATAGATGCAGAGCACGGGCTTAGACATGAGGTATGTCTTAACAGAAGTGAAGGCATTATCGCATTCATCACTCCATTTGAATTGAGTATCTTTTTTGAGAAGTAGATAGAGAGGCGCCAATTGTTTGCAGGCATTGGGTATAAACTTGTAATAGAAGTTTACTTTCCCTAAGAATTGCTGTATATTTTTTACTTTTGTGGGTTTTGGGAAGTTTTTAATGGCAATCAAATTATCATTGATTGGTGTGTATTTGTTGTGTGAAATGTTATGTCCCAAATACTGAACGCATTTTTGCGCAAATTTGCATTTAGTTAATTTGAGTTTTATATTTTCAGACACTAATGCTTTTAAAACCAAATTTATATGTTTTAGGTGCTCATCAAAGGTAGATGAGTGGATGATAATATCATCAAGGTAGTTTTTGCTAAATTTGGTTAAGTTATGTTTTTTAAGGATATTGTGGATTACGGACTGAAATACTAGGGGAGAGTTCCTGTACCCGAAGGGCATCCGAAGCCACTCGTAATGAGCACTTGTCGTCACAAATGCCGTTTTGTGGACATCGTTTGGGTGTACCCTTAGGTGCCAGAAGCTGCTGGTTATGTCAACCGTTGTAAAAAATATAGGGAATCATACAATTGATCCACAATATCACTGAATAGGGGGAACGGGTAGTTCTGTTGGACTATGTTTTGATTCAATTTACGGTAATCGATAGTCAGGCGGGACTTTTGCCCCTCATCTCGCTTGTGGGCTAAGGTTATTGGGAAAGCATAAGGGCTTAAACTTTTGCGTATAAACTTATGTTTTAAAAGCATCTCGATGTCGAGATCGATGGTGTGTTGGTCTACCGGTGAGCACCGATAAGCCCTTAGATTGATAGGTATTTTGTTAATGAGATCTATAGTACAGTACTCGGAAGTTATACACCCGATATCGTACTTATCTCTTGAGAAAATGTGGTTAAAATGATTTAAAATGGCATTTAAATCGTTTTGTTGGCTAATGTTTAACTCATTACTTATAATGAGTTGTGTTTGTGAGGCTAACACATGTGTATTTAGTTGGGAATGCAATTCATTTGTTTCACAAAAACTATATTGAGTTAAAGTGTTATCGTTTGAGTAATTAGTGAGAATTTCCTCACATTTGTGGGCATTATTTTCAATGAATTGTTGAAAAACTTGAAAATTCTCATTCATTTTGAGATTAAATTTACGGATTATATCTAATCCGATGAGAAAGTTATGGTTAGATTTATTTAAGACAAATAAATCGCATTTATTAGAAATGTTGCCAATTTTGAGAGAGACTGAGGCGAGACCTAAACATTCACATTGATTACTGATTGTGAGAACTTTTAACTTATAGTTTGGATTATTAGTTAACTCTAATTTTAATTTTATGAATAATTTGTAACTAATTATTGAAATGTTTGCTCCGGTGTCGAAGACGGCATGAGTTATGGTATTGTTAACTATTGTTAATATTGTAATCAATGGGTGGTATTTAGATCTCGGTATTAGTTTAAATCAATGGCTGAGATGTCGTTATCATGCATTGATTGGGAGGAATGGGAGGACTGGGAGTGCATTGTGTTAACAGTCTTAACACTTGTATTGCCATTGGGTTTGGGTTTACCTTTGTTTCGGCAATCATTAGACCAATGGAACCGGTCTTTGAAGCCTAGGTTTTCGCATATACGACAAGGAGTCGCGGGTTTGCGTTTAGCCATAGGTTGGCCTTTAATACCCGTAGGCTTACCATCACTGGAGGCAGTGTTTGGCTTGAAATTGGGAGTGAATTTATGGGCAGTAAAACGCTTAAAGTTGTTTTCAGAAGTCTTAGCAATTGTGTAGAACTCGGCGTAAGTCTTAGGCTTCACGGCTGTGAAGGACTCAACCATTTTTGGATGCAAATTGTCTACCAATAGAGGGATGATTTGAGTTTCGGTCAACTTTGCCGCTATCCCTAACCTCCGCTTTGTTTCGAAATAGTGTTTAATCCCTGTTTTTATGTCATACTTTGTGTGTACAAACTCGACGATAGGCTCAACCGTTTCTAAGCCGAAACGGTTTAACAATTGAGTTTTGATTATTGAGTAATCATTGGTATTTGAGTTTTCAATATACCAATTGAGAGCCTCGTCTTCGAGATAGTTCCCGAGCATTACAGAGCGCTCGCTATCAGACCAGTGGTGGTAATCGGCAATCATTTCATACCGTTTTAGCCAATTCTCAATAGAGATTTTGTCGGCTATACCCTTAAAAATCTGGAGCTTAGGCTTACTGTACGATGTCTTCGGCGGTGAATAGCTGATCGTCTCGGTGTCGGAGTTGTCGTCCGTTTGGGTGGCCATCGGTGCTGATGACGGGTCCGGCGCCGACGTGGGGTCCGGATGTGTGGAGCGGTTGCGACGAGTGCTGCGTCCCATGGCTTGTGGTGCGGATGAGGTTGGGATGGGTTGTGGTGCTGAACACAGAGTTAATGTCTGCACAAATGTTTTGCACAAAAAAAGTTTGTTTTAAATGTTTTGCACTTAAAGTAGCGAAAGAGCGGTTGTGTTGGGCGGCAGGAGTCCGGCGTCGGAAAGCGGTTTCAACACAACACGATTGGCTGCTTCTTCAGCTATCTTCGCGGCGACGATAGGAGTGAGCGCTTTGGCTAAGGCTCTGATGATGGAGAGGATTGAGATGGCGTACACGGCTTTGGCGCACAACACAATGATTATGATGATTGTGATCACGATTGGGATCAGGTCTTCGCAGATCATATCCCTGCCGACTTGTAAGGGGTTTTTGAATGTTAGGTCACTAATGCAGTGAATGAAAGCGCAGTCGAGTGGTTGTATTTGCAAATAACTTGATTTTATTAATGTGATCACAAAAATATATAAAAATACAAATTCATTAAAACAATGATTGATAAAACAATTGGAAAATAAGGCATTAATACAATTGAATTGAATGGAGAGCTCACAGGACGTGAGCAAAGGGTATGATATGAATGGCATTAACATAAGGCATAAATGGTATAAAGTGTTTGAGACTTAAATAGTCCACTGAATTGTAAGTTGGGGTCAGTTTGACCCCAATGTATGTTTGTATGTATTGTGTATAATGTGTGCACATTTTATTGATGGGTATCTGTCGGTAGTGTTTGTGTGGAACATATAGTGCTTGAATTGGGGTTAAGTTAATTGATTCAAGACTTTGAATTCAAATGAAAGGGCTTTCAACAGATGCTTGAAATGTAATTCAAGTGAAAAATAATGACCAAAATAGAGAAATGTGTTTAAAATAAGTGATAATAAAAGAGAGAATGTGTTGGCATTCAGTGAC